TTAAGAAAAACGCTGTTCACTTTTACATTAGAACGTCTGAAGAATATTTACTAATTTTTCGGACCCGAAATAATATGTAGTTTAACCGTGAGGGCCGTATTAATTATCTGGTGCGCACGAGACCTCGCGTGTGCCATATGAAATTTTTATGCAAGATGTACAGCGAAGATTAACAAAGCTACATATATCTATACGACTGCGGACCCTGGACAATCACTTCCAGCTTCCGATCGCTCGAAAAAACGTCGACCCTAAAGGCTCGTCTAAAGGTTCGCCAATGTTTCGACACGACGAGCGAGACGCGGGGAATCTTCGGATCGAAGATCGCAACAGTTTCGGCAGCGAGAAACGCGGCCAAACATTTCGACGCGGCAACGGCATTCGGTGTGTTCACTTTTGGCGTAGCGGCAACGTAACGGGGGTCGAATAAAAAAAAAAGAGAGAAAGAGAAAGAAAAAGGAAAAAAGGCAAAAATTCGGATGTAATCATGCAGGAGTGGCCTTTGAAGTCCGCGCGCGTTTCTTTTGAGCCTGCTCGTTTCGAGCCGTGCCCATATATTTTTAGTTACCAGCGCGGCGCGGCGTCTCTTTTCTTGTATATTACCGCGGGTGCGCGATGTAAAGGGCCGTTTTTGCCTGTGGTCCGAATAAATGGCGAAGCGGAGGCCATGCGTGCCACTCAAAGCCGTACTTTTAAATCTACTCTCATCTGCCCCGGCCATTATATGCCGAGATCCGATTTTTTTCTTCGCGGTCTCCCCCCCCCCCCTCCTTCCGTTCCCGGTGGCCGGGATACGAGAGGTAAATCGAACGAGAAACTCGAAATGACCGAATGCTGGACGAATGCGTTACCCGAGACGCGACCTCCTCTCTCCGTAGGCCGCCGGCCGCCTTCGAAACTCTTGCATGCGATTTCGTTTTCGGTCCTCCTCACACCGTATCCGATACTCTCGATAATTATTAACACAAAATGGACAATTTGAGAAGAGGAGATACGATTATTCGAACCTCGCGGTTTATTTTTATAGTTATATATTGTCCACAATTATAAAAACGAGCCGCGAGGCTCGAATAATCGTATCTCCTCTTCCCAAATTGTCCATTTTAGTGGACGATCCGAGTGTCGGTAAGGGAGACATTACTGTACGCGGAGCAACGTAAAGTCCTCGCGCGACAAGAAGGCGCCTTTGCGCTTATATTCCTACCACCCCCACATTTATTTAGCTGCCCCACTGCCGCGGCACTCGATCGCTATTCGCCGAGAACGGCGGCAAAGATCAAACCATCGAAATTTCAGGTTCAGCGTCGCTTTCGGAAAAAGAGAAAAAAAGATGAAAATCGCACGGAACTTTGTCACGCGACGTTCGGTGCCGCGTTGCTAGTGCAACGTGCAACGCGATTTCTTCATCGAATTTTGCTCCGAACAGCCCCACCGTCCGCGATCCATTTGAAGAATTTGCAACGCGCGAGCAAGCCTGGCCGCGTGGATTTCCCGGGCTCTGCGCGCCCTTGTGCCGAAACAACGAGAACGCGCCAAGAAACAGGAGAGGAAATGAAATTTCCATTTTACCGTTCCGACCCTGGTCGAAAATGTTTCGCACGAATATCCGGTAGCGAGACCGGTTGGGAGACTCGCGGGAGAAATTTCTGGACAAATAATTGAGCGAGTGGAAAACGGTCGAAAGGTGCAGCGGGCCGCGAGCAGCGAGCAGCGCGAGTTAATTTGGCCCGGTGTTTTCCGAGAGATTAAAACTCGTGGTTTTAATTAAAAAATGGTACAGGAGGATGTTCGTTCGATGGGCGTTCCGCGCCCTTTTCTCTGTCAGTTACGCCACCGGGACCGACCGAGGAAACGACCGCGCGCGACTCGGAACAATTCCTCGTTTTTGCTCGATTTTGCTTCGGCCGCACAGTGGCATAAAAGCCTGAAATCATGGTCAAAATCCTAAAAATCGAAGTTGTCGTCGAGGAGTTTTCGACTTACGGATTGGATAGTTTAACGATGCGACCATGCGGTGGGAGGGAACGAAATGACCCATACTTTCATATCCGAATGACAATTGCACTTCGAATTTCGAGTTTGTCGGGCAGTCGTTACTCGCAAGCGTGACCGACGGTACGAAGCGGATATTTTAAAGCGCGTATCTTTTTGTGGGAATGTTTTTTCCTCAATCGTGTAGAATGGATATCGTTCCCAGTGATAAGTACAACATTTTGTACCGCTAACGTCTCACGAATCGTTAACTGTTACATTGGTAAAACGATAAATCGTAGATCTAAATTATAAAAGCAAATGGAACGCGTTTACCGTAAAGTTATAGTCGAAACTTTTGCGGCTTACGAGGGCCTGCTTTCGAACTTACCGGAGCTATAGTTTATAGTTTCGTCCAGCTGCGCTTAAAAAATTGGCTGCATCGCGTTGCACTTTTTTCAGTTACAAACATTTTTGCGAGTCAATGTACGGGAAACTGCCTCGCGAGAGTATCCAAGACGGTGTAACTTTCTACGAATCGTGCCAAATTGCTTACATGGTTTCGAGATGTTAGAAAAAGCACTTTATCAGGCATGTCGAGAATTATTTTGAAAAAAATGAAATTTGTTAGAATGAAAAAAATGTTTCAGTACTGTTTAACTACGAAAGAACTGTTCGTGAAAGAAGAGTACGTCGGCCGGCGCGGCGTACAGTAATGTCTCTCTAATTGACGCCCAGATTGCGCACAAAAATGGACAATTTTTGGAAGAGAAGATACGATTATTGGAGCCTCGCGGTTTATTTTTATACTTATAAATTGTTCGCAATTATAAAAATGAGCCGCGAGGCTCCAATAATCGCATCTCCTCTTCCCAAATTATCCATTTTAGTGGACAATCTGAGCGTCAGTAAGGGAGACATTACTGTACTCCGCGCACGTAGAGTTTATAGGAGGATCGAGCAATCGCGGCCGGCTCGCACGCGCGGACCATCTTTTTCGACGGATCGAAAAAAAAAAAGAAGAAAGGCGGAGCAATCATGGTGACTGTGTCCGGAGGTTAAAGATAAATCTTATATCGGGAACGCGGTATCGCGGTCGTTCTCCTTTTCTCTCGGAACGCCGCGCACGATTACACGAGCTTCTACGCCTAAACGCTTTCTTCTCGTCTTTTCGACGGTATCGACGCGCCGAATGTCAAGGTTAATTTTATTTAAGGAAACTCAGCGTTCACGGCTGCGCGTATTTTCTCTTCCGTCGCGGTTTCTCGGCCCGATTTCGAATCGATCTTCGCGATGTCCGCGTTCCGAGTGCATTCTCGAACACGCTTCAAAAAATCGTTTCGTCGGCTACGATCGAACGTAGCAAAAAACGAGACGACGGCACAAACCGCGAAAACTTCGGAGATTCTTCGAGAACGTTTTTAATCCTTTGCACTCGAAACCATATTAACTGTAAATATAAATTAGCTTTTTCGACTTATGGTGTTTCCATTTTAGCGACAAAGTGCTTTTACGCGTACGGAATCGAGTCTTGCGACTCGTACAACGGTTAGACTTTTAACAATTCTTTATTCCTAAGCTTCGATATTGTTACGGCGACTTGTCCAAATCGAGTCGCTGTAATGTGATACTGCCCTGTTGCGAGCAACTCCTTAAAAAATAATGGAAGATAGGGGTTGCCAAGGAAGAGTGTTACCAACGGACAATCGAAGAGTCGAGATAGAACCGTGGAACGATCAACGTTTCAAATTCAGGGATCTGAAATATAATTGTATCGAGTTGTATTATAGTTTATATTCTTTATCGTAAATAAAATGCCGTGACGCGATAGAAACGGAGCGATTCGCAACAATATTATAAAAATTATCTTGGAACGTGGTGTAACTATTTTAGCGGTGTCTCGGAGTCGCCGCTTGAGTGCAAAGGGTTACAGTAATGTCTCCCTTACGGACGCTCAGATTGTCCACTAAATTGGATAATTTGGGAAGAGGAGATACGATTATTCGAGCCCTGCGGCTCGTTTTTATAATTGTGAACAATTTATAACTATAAAAATAAACCGCAAGGATCGAACAATTGTATTTCCTCTTCCCAAATTATTCATTTTTCTGGACCATCTGAGCGTCAATTAGAGAGACATTACTGTAATTCGTCTCTCCTCCGCGGCGGCAGAAAAATATCTCGAATCCTCGCGGCATTTCTTTCCTGGAGACGACCCACGGCATTGGAAACACTTTGATCCTGCTTCAAGCGAGCGCGTGCGCCATAAATGTCCGGAGATGCATGGGTATAACCATGGCTCGACCGCGTCGCAAGAACGTCCCAAGGAGCCTCCGAGTGCAACGATAAAGCGTCGCGCGGGGCCAATGGGCCAGGCAGTTAATCATCGCGCGGCTAAAAACGGGAGAAGCTTCTTGCGAACTTTTTCTTTTTCTTCCCTTCTTCTTTTTTCCTTCTTTTTCGCGAGTATCGTCGAGAATCCACCAGGAAGACGACAAACATACCGGAGGGTACCGAACCGAGTTAGGCGAGTAATTTACGAACGAGCCGGTGGGACTCTTCCGGGCGAAGGAGGAAACGGGTTAAGGGGCTAGTATTCTGGTCTAAAACTTTGAAAAGCCAGCCTTTCGTTCTATTTTCCTCGGGACCGTCTTCGAAAACAGGTCCGCGGAAGAATCTCTTTAGAGATTTTTATTTTCTCTTTAGATTCTCTTTATTCGAATTCGCGCGAAATAACGAAACCACGAATCTTTCGAGCGTGTCTCTACGTGTACTTTCATGTACAGTGACTCGCATTAATGTTCGGACACGATATTGTTGTAACTCGTAGGACAAACTTCGAACTTGGCCGTGTTTTTCTCGAAGCTGACGAAAATACCGACCGATATAAAAAGAATTTACGGTTCTCGGTTGTTTTCACCTTGTCTTGTACGCGGGATATTTCGAGACATTTTTTCGGGACATTTCGAGCGTTCGACGCTGCCGCGGTCGAAAGATCGGCGACCTTATTCGATTTCTAACGATCGAGCGTTCTTCAGTTTTCGTCAGTTTGCGGAGGAACACGCAGCGTTCTCGTTTCGTTTCGCAGACTTTTTATAATACGTACGGTTGGTTAATTGCTTTGTGTCGCGTCGCGAAATCGTCGGCGAGTGGTAATTCGATCTGTCGTGGCTCTCGCGCGCCGAACGAAACTTGTGCGAGTAAAAGACGACGGTCAGCTATCGAGATGGCCAGGTATCGAGACGGCCAGCTATCGAGACGGCCAGCTATCGAGACGACAGCTCCGGACGATAAGAAAGCGACCGCTGGTCGGAGTTTTCCACGGCGGAAAGGCCCGATAGGGTGGCTCTCGAGGACAAGGTATGTCCGACGACTTGCTCTCTCATAGTTATCGTTTTATTACCGAGGGCCGAGGCACCAGGCATACACGTGCGATCCGTCGGGGAATTTTAACCACTTAGCTGTGGCGCCTCTTTTTCAATGCGCGCACCTATACGTGTCGCGAGAATCGAGCGACGACGAGTATACTCGTTGAACATAGATTAAGCGTTGCTGTTAAAATATTGGATCAAAGTGACGGTTTCATTTTATAAAATTAAGAATTTCATTACCAATGTTTACTTGTTCGCTTGACATTAACCCTTTGAACGCCGAGTTGTCCGACGTTGAGCGTGCGCCACGGACCGCCCCCTCGGTACGAAAAAGCCTACCGTGGGCCCCGTACTTTTTACGAAAGAGCGCAAGTTGAGCAGACCGAATTTTCATCGTAAGATATATCGATTGTAACCGAAATAAATTATGCGATGACCTCGAAAGCCTCGATAACCGTTTATTTCATCGAGCAACGATAACACGAACGATATAACAGCGGTAAATTATATCTTTTAAATTGAAAATTTCATAATTTTGTATCGCGTGGTAAATCTCGAAGCAGGGTTCGATACGTAAGCCAATGTTACATTTTTTGCGTTCGTGACGCGAGTCGGTTTCGCGATTATTTTGAGCGCGAACAGCGCATCCGCGTCGCGAAGAATGTATTTTTATTTTCTTTAATTACGCAGGGTGCAGGGAAATGCCTCTCCGTTAACCGAAACGGAAAGTCTTTCGAACGAACTCTTCCTCCTTTAGCCTCTACTCTATGCGGTGGGTATTCTCGCAAAATATCTTTCACGAGAAGCGGATGAAATTTTTCAAACGTGTCAGTTTTATTGTTAGCATTTTTATAAAGAATATACGCATTGTATATAGCGAGGTCTAAGAGGTGGAAGAAATATTTGTTATACCATTTTGTCCTTTTTCGAACGCGGCGAAGCGAACTCAAAATCGTATCGAAAAATCCGAAAAGATCCCCTCGAAACATCGTGAACTCGCGACACACCGAAAGCGGAGGGAGGGCTCTAAACGGTAAAAAGAAAACAGAGTCGTCTTCCTAGGAGGTAAGCGACGCGGATAAATGATTCAACGGCCACCGGAAACAGCCAGCGTTTCCGCACCCTGTCCCTCGAGCACTTTCTCAAACACGTCCGAACAAATTTGTGTTCCGCTCGGAAGAACCGAGCTTTCTCTTCAAGTCCCCTCTTCCTCTTCCTCCTTATTTTCTTTTTCCGTTCCGTCCGCTCTGCGAAATGAAAAGCTGGACTGGAGGAGAAATAAGAACGTCGGAGAGAGGACACCGGATGAGTTTGAAGAATCTCGGCCGGGCCTGGAGAGGAATTTATTAAGCCATCGGCAGCAATTACGCGGAATCGTGAAAATTACGGCGCGATGGCGGCAGCGAGGACGCCGCGCGACGGTTTCTTTGTGCGCGATGCGCGCTGACCCGGATTTTTGGAACCGACGACGGACGAATTTAGTCTTTCGAACGCGTCGCGCGCGTCCCGCTTCTGGATCCCGATTAAAGCGCGCCCGACGTGGCTCGGGGTGCTCCTGCGGGAGCAATCGATCGGCAAAATCTCGCTCGAACGCTGTTCCCAAGGAGGACGACTTCCGTTTCGGCCGAGAGACGAGAATCCGACTCGGTTCCGTTTTTTTATATACGCTGACTTTCGGTTTGCTCGATCGTCGACGTCGACGACCGATATCGCGCGTAATTATACAATAACTAGATCGAGAATTTTGGGATCGTTGCAATTCACCGCTATCTCCCACCGCTCCAAAATTCGTACTTAACCGTTTGATTCCCAGGTAGTATTGAAAAAACACTGTCGAAGAATCCCAAACAGCGCAACCGCGCTTTCTCTAAAATCTTGACATACGCCGATGTTTTTCTTTTTTCGGGTGCCCCGGGCATCGATTAGATTTTCCAGGTAGACAATCAGCCTCGGTCGCGCAGCAGTCGTTTGTCCAGAATTTATGGTCGAACGCGTCACGCGTCTTTCGTGGCTCGTTACAAACGAAACTGTTCGCGCCGAACCGAAAACTCTTGCTCCGCGCCGTTCGTTCGACGGCGCGCCATTTTCTTCGCTCGCGCATTCCCTATACCGACGATGCCGGTAAATTATGTAATAATTACGGCAAGCGCGTATAACGCGCGTTGCAACGTAGACCCTCGTCTACAGGCTGTCCCAAAAATGTCTCGTAATCCGGAAATGGGGGATTTCTGAGGTAATTCGAAGTAACATTTTCCTTAACGAAAATGCGATCCGTGGATTTATTTACGAGTTATTAACAAACAACGCTGACCAATGAGAGGCGAGCTCGAACAGTGCTAGGCGGCCGAGCCAATCGGCGGAACTGGATTTCTATCCCTCGTTGGCTCGGCCGTCTTGCCCCAGCCGATCTCGCCTCTCATCGGTCACGGTTTTTCGTTAATATCTCGTAAACGAAGCCGCGGATCCCTTTTTCGCTAAGGAAAAAATTACTTCTAACGACCCGAGGAAACCGCCATTTCCGGATTGCGAGACAGTTTTGGGACACCGTGTATATCGCGACCTCTGTCTAGGTTGCGCTTGTAACTGTTCGAACTTCAATTACTTGAACGACTTAACCGTTCGAGTCCTATGAGGTATTGAAAAAACACCGTCGAAGAATCCCAAGCAGACCCAAGCAGCGCCATAGCGCTCGTTTTATTTTCTGTCGAGAAATACCGAGCGGCGCGATAATAATGAATTAAAAATTTGTATTTTCTAATGTATTATTGCATTATTATAGTATTATTCTACCTATTGTAAAATGTACCGTTTACATTAAAAGGAGCCGTGCGATGTACTTGCTTCGGTAAATCTGAGCGCGCTTCGACGATCGGTAACGCACCGTCGGTTGTCCACGATGTTCGAGATGTGCTGGGTTTTCTCGACGTAAAATCTCAACGGCGCGATCGCGCTGCTTGGGACTCGAACGGTTAAATAAATCCATGTTACATCGAGAAAGGAATTTTACGTCGAAGAGAGGAGTTCGTTAGTCGTCTTTCTATCCCATCGATCTTGCAATTAAACCGCGAACATTTGAACGTCCGCAATTTCGAAACAGAATCAAGAAACAGTCGAATCCGGGATTCGACGGAGAATTTAGCTTACGATACTTTCATTGTACGATTCGTTTGCCGGAAGCATCGGAATCGTCTGTGTATCTTTCGGTAGAAACGTAAACGCGCGATTCGAAACGTTGCTTCGTTCAACGCCATTTATCTAGCCTCGATTCCCCGGGATTAAAATAGAAATCGGGATTAAATAGAAGTTTTCTTCGCAACGAACGATCCAAAAGCAATATCGGCGAGTAAAGAACAGGCGAGAACTCTTGCTGGTTCTTGCGGATCGAATAACTTTGGCAAACGCCAAATGGTATAATTTCATTCGTTGAAATGGAATGAACGAAATTTATCGTGCGATCGAATCGGGGAAAAATCAATTATTAGGGTTAGTTCGAAATCGGGGGGTTCGATCGTTCTCGCTGTAACAGCGGCCGATTCGGATGGAACGCGGTGGTAACGGCAACGGTAACGGTAACGAGCGTTGGCACAGTCTATCCAAAGTAGAAGGAGGACGGGGGAGGGGGCGCCGAGTAACTCGTCCATGCAAATTGGCATTAATATGCAATTGGAACAATAGATCCCAATTAATTATCCCCGGTTAATTGGGATGCCGCGGCGGGCCCCACGGAAGGCGTCTTAACGAAGTTACCATGCATGCCCGCTAATTCGGCAACAAAACTATGCGAAACTGCGGCCGCGTTAACTAGAAATTAATATTTACCACTGCAATTCGAGCTCCGGCTCGGTCGCGGCCGTGGCCGCCGTGCCGAGCCGAGCAGAGCCGCGCCGAGTCCCAGTCGCGTCGGCGGCGGTGTTATACAATTTCTATTCCTCCAGGAATATTACCAAATTGTTATTATTCCGGCGCGTGCCGCCATTGTCCCCTGCATTCGCGACAATAATTTTCATCGCGGAGACAATATCGTAACTGTTTGTCGCGGATAAACGCGTCGAGAGATAGAGAGAGAGAGAGAGAGAGAGAGAGAGAGAGAGAGAGAGAGAGAGAGAGCGAGAGACTGTTCGAGGAAGAGAATTACAGTAATGTCTCTCTTCTCGGCGTAACTCGAGTATGCCAATACTGACGCCGAGATATTGCTACGGCCCTGTAATTTATCGATTTTCTCGCTATGCTAAAGTTCGATGGTATTGATGAACACGTGTGCTGCGGCACGCGTCGCACTGTTCGACTCGAATTTCCGGAAGACAACTCGTAATGCAATTACATAACTTTTTTTAATTTTAACATTTTAACACTGATCTTTTTTTTAACATATTGCTGACAGTTTTCCGATTAAAATGAGACCAAACACGATATAGTTTGGACAGATATTTCTGTCGACAAAATCAAAGACGATAGACGTTGCACGTAATTTACTGCCAAGATGAACGTGGTGTGCGGTGGAAAAGAGTTTAGGCAAAGTTGTCGACTTTACCGATGCCGTAACAAATAATGTAAAAAAAATTAATTTGTAAATAATTCATCTTCAAATTGGCTAAATGTCGTGTTCTTTCTCGATGTTCGACATCTTAAAATTCTAGGGTCAATGGAAAATGTACAGAAAACAGTTCTTTTACACCCTACACGCGTAGACTCGTCCTCAAAATGATGTCGCTTCTCCCATCCCAGCAAATCTCAAACATGGAACTCTTCGTTCTCGGCGGTCTTCGTTTCCTTCTGTCTCCCATCCGTCCTTTGGGTTGGTGCCGCACGTTAAATCAACAGAGACGAAATGTCTCCCATCCGTGTAAAGCTTCCTATTCCCGGTGTCTAACGTAGGCTTGAATGGCGTAACTTTGGTGACATTTTCTTTCGAAAAAGATACGTACATACCTTCTTCGACCTTGCCTTTAATATTTCGTATGTTAAAAATCTGTTTTTATAATGCTTTTC